AGGCTGAAGGGGAGGACGGAGATCAGATAGAAGACTGAAGGGAAGGACAGAGGTCAGATAGAAGGCTGAAGGGGAGGACGGAGATCAGATAGAAGACTGAAGGGAAGGACAGAGGTCAGATAGAAGGCTGAAGGGGAGGACGGAGATCAGATAGAAGACTGAAGGGAAGGACAGAGGTCAGATAGAAGGCTGAAGGGGAGGACGGAGATCAGATAGAAGACTGAAGGGAAGGACAGAGGTCAGATAGAAGGCTGAAGGGGAGGACGGAGATCAGATAGAAGACTGAAGGGAAGGACAGAGGTCAGATAGAAGGCTGAAGGGGAGGACGGAGATCAGATAGAAGACTGAAGGGAAGGACAGAGGTCAGATAGAAGGCTGAAGGGGAGGACGGAGATCAGATAGAAGACTGAAGGGAAGAACAGAGGTCACATATAAGACTGAAGGGAAGGACAGGAATCAGATAGAAGACTGAAGGGAAGGACGGAGGTCAGATAGAAGACTGAAGGGAAGGACGGAGGTCAGATAGAAGACTGAAGGGAAGGACGGAGTTCAGCTTAAAGCTGGCCATAGAAAATACATTTCTGTTTATTTACTAACACAATGTTGCTTATTTACTAAAGGAACTGAGACTGGACGCACAATAAATGGTGTGACTATTAATTTGGATCATTTGTTTTTAACACAATTTATTGTGACAAGATTCTCATCTCCTTCAGTAAATCAGACGCCACATCTGACCATAGTGAAATCTAATGGAGACTTGAGACTTTCTCCTGCGGAATAGAAGATGAACCCCTCAGATCTTCCGTGTCACCACAATCCATGACAAGACAACCAGGCCCCTTATAAACTGATTTTTATTATTTTTACAATCCGCCTTTTTTTAAATTAATGTGATAATTACAGATTTTTAAAAATGTACATCTCGTGTTAAGCCGGAAAAATACAACAACGGGTAATATTTTACAACATATGTACAGAATTATTTTTTTTTGTGGCTCACTTGTCATAATTATTCCAGACAAATAGAGGCTAAAAGTGCAAACCATCCCAAAGATTGATTAGGTGGGGGAGGGAAAGACGGTAATGAAGATGGCGCTTGGCCTGTCACATGGGTGCCCATTGATAGCAGTCATACAGTGAGGAAAATAATGATTTGCTCCCCTGCAGATTTTGTAGGTTTGCCCACTTACAAAGAAATGAAAGGTCTATAATTTTTATCATAGGTGTATTTTATGATAGAGACAGAATATCAACCAAAAATCCAGAAAAAAACACACGATACAAATGTTATGAATTGAGTTGTAGTATAGTGAGTAAAATAAGTATTTTCTTTGTAAGTGGGCAAACTTACAAAATCTGCAGGGGATCAAATCATTATTTCCCACACTGTATATATATCTATATATATCTATATCTATATATATCTGTATCTATATATAAATGTAATTATTTATTTATTTTGTACACTTTCATTAGCAGACTTGTCTGCGGTCTTCGGACAGTATTTTATTTTCCTTGGAAATGGCTTTAGAATTTTGGTAGCTTTGCTTTTTTGGCATTGTCTCGAGGCCCTCCTGGGAATTAGTAATGCAATAGACGCAATCCCTAAGCAGATCAAATATAAACAATGTGACAAAAATGAAAAATTAAATTCATTCAATTTTTTTTTTAGGTTAAAATGTAATTTTTAAAAAAAAATTAATAGAAACTTAAACCCTTCAATATGAAATACGCAAATATTTACATACAGAAAATATTCTTAAGGAAATTAAAATATACATCTATTTCTTGACGTGTAGCTCAGAGACAAGTCTAAGAAGGTCAAAAATCAATTGTTGATGAATGAGCCGCAAATTGAAGCACCACAAAGTAATATTGGACTCCAATCATTGTCTAAGCACTTAGCCTACGACTAAGGCCCAGTTTGGGGGAGCTGAAACATGTCAGCATTTGTTTGTTTGCTGCTGTTATGCCTCATTACAAATAAAGTACTGCATGGACGGACCCCCTTGCGAGGGCCGGTTTTGTACTTATTGTCAAAGCACCCGATTTGTTGAATTTTGAGTGTACATTCTTTCTTTGTTTCCGATGTACAGTAGGTGGTGGAGCTTAACCCATGTTGGATATAGTAAACCACTTGTCAGAGTTATATCTGGACCTGAACCTTATGTTATGGCGCTTCAACTGTAGACTAATGTGTCCTTATTACAACCAAAGGTGGTCATGGAATGTCCTTGGTGTGCAGAAGCTGCCAGCCCAATATTCACATCATCCATAGTCATTGTGCTGCCACCAGCAGTCTATTTTGTTATTGTTTATCACACATTTGTGTCTTGGTACTTCCCTACATTTCCCCCCCATTGTTTTGTGTATTTTGGTATAGTCCATAGTTAGACACTCCCATCCTCTCCTTCCCATTTCCTTTTCACCCTCTCCTTCACTGTGATAAAAGGGGTCTACCCACGCGTTCACACCAGCCCCAGTGTAATGGGGGTTTATTTAGGCTTGGTCACACAGAGGATGTGATCCCTTATAATTTCTTCTTCACACCAGCCCCAGTGCATTCCGGCCCGATTCAGTTTAATGGATGGATCGCATCGCGGCCGGCTCACTGTGTTCTGAGGTGCGAGAGGGCGTGACGGTACGTTGAAGTCAATGGAACTGCAGCCACGTCCCCCCGGACAGGATGTGACAGGATGTGATCCAGTGCATTCCGGCACCGAATCAGGCCGGTGTGAACTAGCCCTTAGAAAGAAATGTATTTTCACTTCAAGAAATGACAAGGGATCACATCCTCTGGGTTGCCAAGCCTAAATAAACCCCATTAGACTGGACTCTGAGCCTTCTTGATGAGTTGGACCCTGCCTGTGGCTACCATCAGCTCCGAAGGTTGTCATACTGTCGGGACAGTCTCATCTGCCCAAATAATCCATGAAGAGATGCCAGCTGTGTATGGAGAGGGTTGTCCATAGGCGATGAATCTCTGCCCCGCCCAACTTACTCACCCGACCTGGCACCTTCACGGGCAGAGATTCATCGCCTATGGGCAATCCTCTCCACGCACAGCTGACATCTCTTCATGGATTATTTGGGCAGATTTCCCTTGAAGATGGAGGAACCCAATCACGGCTCGGTATTCAGCTTTGTCCGGCATGACACCCACTCCATTTCTCTTGGCTCTAACTATAATTCACCACGACCTACAAAAACAAAAATTGGCATGCATATTACTAAGATATCCACCTATAAACCCTGGCACATCTAGATCATGGTGAGGGTAAGTACTTATTGGCCTCCCCTCGTACTATTGGATGATAACAACAATACACAATTCATATTCAATGAGACTCCTGGATTTTACGCCTTTAACCCACTTCCTTAAAAATCACTTGTCCGCCATTTTGGGGAGGCCACTTGGTTCCAGAATGGGCTCCTAAAGTCCTACTACAGCTAAAACGTCTGGAAAATCTGTGGCTATGACTATGTAGTTTGTTCTTATTCCCTTAGCCATCCCGTTGGGGAGATTTCCATTTACTTCCCGTCCCATAGACACAGCAGGAAGCGAGAGGATATCGTTCTAAGTGATGGAAATCCCGTCATAGACGGTTGACACCGAAACAGGCGTCCCCATTGGAAGATTTCCCCTCTGTTCCTATTGTGGTGGCATTTTTGGATTTGCCATCACTTTCAATCTTGTAACCATGGTCACCAGGAAAAACAGAGTGGTGCCTCTCCCCCAACAGGGACACAGACAGCAATACAACCCTGACAGGGGGGGGGGGGGTCTAAATCTTCTCTACTAGATCCAAAACCGAAAACGTTTTGGCTTTAACTGCACTTTCAACCCCATACAAAACTTTTTTCGTTCCTCATATCGGGTAGAATGAGGAAGTGTCAGTGTCCTTGTTAGGTTTCTTATTGAAGGAAGGGGGGCTTTCCTTTCACTTCCTGCTCTGTTGACCAAAATAGGAAGTGAAGACAAATCTCCCCTACAGGGACCACTAATGAACACCTGTCATGTTATAAACCCTTCTCACCCAGTCCAAAACCTGAACAAAAGGTCTGGATTGAGATTTTTCTACATCCCCAGTCAAAATTTATTGCACAAACTCCCGCGTTCTTCCTCCTCCTTTATTATGTGGGAGTTATTTTCCATTTCAAAAGTCTATTTGTGCCTTATCATGTGATACTACATTCCAATATCAACGAATCTGATGCTCTAGACTGGAATATTAAAGTCCAAATACATGTTTATTCCAATGATAAATTGATTACACAGCCAACGCGTTTCGGGGGCTGTAACTCCACCCTCTTCATCAAGGCTTGAAATATTAAACAATGAAACGGAGTGTATATGGACTCGATAATCAGTGTATCATTGGATTAAATTGAAGTGTTGTGGCCCAGGCAGTGTTTTCATTGTATTCGTTTTTAAAGCTCCGACAAAGGGGCGGAGTCATAGCCCCCGAAACGCATTGGCTTTGCAAACAATCTTTGGGATCAACTTGTATTTGGACAGATCTAAATTCACTAATTTCTACCGCAACCCAAGGTGAAAGTGGAGTTCCTTTGGCGTGCAGAAGCTGCCAGCCCAATATCCCGACTCTCTGTATTTACACCATTGACATTACGACAACAATAATATAAACATAAAGAAATCTAAGGGGTTCCAGCGCCCCCTATCCACTCTTCCAAGCAACTACATCATGCTTTCCATGGTTGCCTTTGTACGTCATATCTGATATCTCTTCTTTCCAGAGTCCTACATGGCAGGAAGTGCTGAACGTCCATCATGAACCGTCTGGATTGCATTTCAAGGATATTTTTTCATCAAATTTGATGCATTTATTCTTCCTCTGTTGTCATCAAATTTAAGAATGAAGGATCTCTCTAACAGCTGACGCGATGCTGCGATTGAACATTAAGTCGTACCGCAGAAAACCAGACTATCCAGTTCCAGGAGGGACAGTTACCGCTGACCAGTAGATGGCGCACTTTAGAGGACGCGGTCAATGGTTAATGGGTTCTGTGTTGCCAACACCGCCCTCTAGAGGTGACCACCGCTGAACGTCGCCACTGGCAGGCACAGGAGGGAACAGAACTGGTCGTGAGCCGTCTGTGACCAGTGCGGCCTGTAGATTTTACGGAAGTCTCTGATTTCAGGCTTGTAGCACGGCGAAACCTCACACCTGAATGAACACAAGAAATAAGGATTTACAGTGCCACAAAAACACACCAGGCCATTAACAACGCACAGGTAAATACTTTGAACACTGTGCAAGCTAAAAGAACATAGAAATGTGTTTTTTTGTTTTCTCAACTTAATCCCTGGGGGTTAAACTTTATCCCCCCCCTCCTCCCCCCATGAATCAGATGTGCTGCTTTGCATATTTTGCAGGTTTTCGTTTGAAATGACTGGAATAGAAGAATGCAAGTCAACGCAAAAAACAGGAACTGGGGCTTTTTACCCAATGCTATGGCAGCCCCTTGATTCATTCATGGCCATGCGTTGGGCCTAGGTGGAAAATATAGCAAAGTGCAAAGCAGTTCCTCTAGAGCCAACAAGTCCTGATTCCAACATAACTTGGCATGTGGCAGGTGCTTAAAAACCCTCCATGGAATTTTTGCAACTAGTCCTAGAGGGCCACCTACTGGCCGTACTGAGCTATGACTATTTTTTTCATAAAAATTGTTTAAACGCATAGTCCAGTTTGGCAAAAATTTAGTAAATGCCCCAATGTTGATGTAATAAAAAAAATGTGCATTTACTAAATCCTTGCATTGAGGCCTGAAGAGCATTGCAACCGTGATCAGTGTGTTGCAGGTGCATTGCACGGGCTCTCGCACAGTTGTCCCTTGGCCTCAGGTCTGTGCGGAGGTACAGACCTGGTTGGAGGAAGTGATGCTGAATAGGGATGAGGCTGGGCTTGATGTGAACCCAGTTCTCCTAGGTTAAACCAAACCCGCTCAAAACTCTGATTGTCACCCCCTCCTCCCTACCCAATCAGTGTCAGCAGTTGCGTTAGGGGCATTTCCAACCCCTTTGTGATGTGTAGCTGCGGGATAGGGAATGCGCCTCCCCGCACCTGACTGGGTCGGGAGGAGTTTTGAGCAGTGGTGTCACAAGGGGAGTGCAGCCCACACCCGGGTGCCACCTCTGGAGGGGTGACACCAAAATGACTGACAGTCATTAAGGTGTCACCCCATCTGAAAAGTCGGGCACTCGATCATAGCCCTACATTGTCAGGAGAGAGGAGGGGACCCGGCGGCATACCTTATCCTTCCGGGTGAACGTCCCCTCCTCTCTGCCGGCGTCCATCACCAAGATGACCACGTACGCACGATGAAGTCATCGTGCAAGCGCATAGTAACGTCACGTGCATGCATGATGATGTCACGGTGGGGTGTCACCCAGTCTCCACTCCGGGTGACACCCGGCCTCGGGACGCCACTGGTTTTGAGCCGGCTTGGGGAAATTCAGGTGATCTGGGTTCGCATCAAGCCCATCCTTATCTCTAATGGTGACCTACAGCGGTGAGGAAGGAAGGATCCTTGGTGTGCCTTCTATAAGTCCAATATGTTAAGGTGCAGATGGGACTTGTAGTAAAAGAATGTAAAAATGAACAAACCTGATGATGCGGCTGTGCAGGCAGAGCCACGCACAGCCATGGTAAAGTAAAAAAAAAAACTACTGTAGGATATCCCTGGAGGATGCACTCCGCGGTTTGAGTAATGGGAAGGCGGCGGTTTTTGTTGGAGTTTTATTGAAATGTCAAAAGTGACATTTCGTTCACATCTAGTTACTGCAGCGGCGTTGTTCGCATTGCACAGAAGTAGTACTAATACTGTATACAATTTTTCAGAGCACTGCGGTGTGAAATGACCACATTAAAGGCCTTTTGCCCTGTCTGTGCGTTGGGACTGCCATGGGCAAGGCTGCCACTGCCAGTGCAGCCCCAATGCATTTGGAGTGAATGGGCCCTAAATCAGCTAAATACATCCCAGGTGCATCAAAATAAAACACGTGCAAAGTCTTGCAGTTTGTTTCTTTTACAAAACAGCCACAGCCTGAGTAGAAAAGTCTGTTCACTGCCAGCATGCTGCAGAGAAGGACTCTTGTTCTGTGTGTGGAAGCAGCGGTCTCTCTGCCGGGGTCTTACATGCCCTCTGCAGAGTCAGAACTACAGCTCTGAAATTAGCAGGGAGCATGAGCTTTGCTGATAGTAGAGCCACAGGTCTTACTTAGCCGGGAGCTTCCCCTGTAGCATATCTGTAAGTTAGTGGAACTATCTTATCCTCAGACATCATTATTTTAGTCCAGCGGTACCATGTGGTTGTGCTTTCTTGGTTCGTCCTTCCCCTTTCACTGCTATATCATAGACGTTTCCCACAGATAAAGGACAATTCAAATATCTTACTTGATGACCCTCTGAAGAATCTTGCGCTCATCCTGGTCCAGGCACAAGGGGAACGTTCCTCCATTCTGCGCAATGATCTGCGCTTTGTCTACTTTGATTTGTGAAATGCTGATCTGCTGGAAAGAATGGGGAGGGGTTAATAGTAGCCGGGCTCAGATTCAGAAAATAACTTCTCTCGGGGGAAATAAATGGAGAACAACTTTCATAAGGGCAAGTTTTTGTCTTACTGTACAAGTGCCTGCACTGAAGGCTGCAAATACATTCCCAGTCCCATGGAGAATGGCAGACCTACAGGCTGCATACAAGTGATCTCTTGTACAAAACAAGCGTGCCCCGCTGTACATTTAGCTCCGCTTGCCCAAAGCAGGGCTAAATGTAGAAAACAACTACACCCCGGCGCCAGGAACTGCATGTCCCAGGTGTCGGGATATAGCAATTCCACACCCCTGCGCTGCCCCTCTACTCCCTGCTGCCCCTCTACTCCCTGCTGCCCCAAGGCCGGGCCTTGGTTGGCCTTGTGGGAAATCCGTCCCTGCCAGCAGGTGTGGATTGGGAAGAGTCCAGTGATGGATTGAACTGCAATGTCTGGTTGGCTATGTGGTTCTGTGCTTCCCGTCTCATTCCTCTTTAATGTGTTCCTGAAATGAACTGGTCAGTTCAGGGTCTGACTCTGAATGAACTGGCTGCATGGAGTCCAGTCTCAGAGCAGCTCACAGATGATGTCTGTGTTGCTCACTTCTCTCCATGGATTACAGTTTCTTGCTGCAGACTCCCCCTTCTCTCCACAGCAAGTGTGATGCAATGTGACATTACCACCATCAAGGTTATCAGCTCCTTGACTGGCAGGTACAAGAGTGGACACATTGTAATAACCGGGTACACACATCTCTGCATGTTAGCTTAAACCGTTATTGATTTCCTCAGGGTGTTTTTCTTTTTGTTGTTTTCTTTTTGTTTCCTTACGTCTTAATGACCAGCTGTAACATTTTTATGAATGACCTCACTGTGACGGAAGCGTCCGTCACTCTTTTATTTGGAGGGGACTGCAGGCCTGCCTCCTACCCACTGACTATGGTCATTGGCTAAGGAGGGGGTTCTATTGATTGGGAGAGGGGCTTGCCGTGGTGCTTTGGGGTATTTGGGACGCTTTCTTTATGCCCCATGGATCAGGAGGACCCCAGAGACCTATTTTCAAGTTATTTTGGGATACATGGGAAGCTGAGACTGTTTCCCTATACATCAGTATCCTGCACTGGACCAGACTGATGCCAGGACGGAATCTATTGCTCTCCTGAAGTGAAAAGACCTTGTCCTGTGTTTTACTTAATCTAATTTTCTCCTGAGACTTGAAATGTTTGACATTCCTGTGTAGGGGGAAGGTTTTGTGTCTATATACGGTGCTGTGTGTTAATAAAGTGGGTTCTTGGTTTTTGGAGACTAGTCCTGCCTGGTCTTTAGGGGAAGGTTTGGGCTGTAATTATGATTTTCCCGTTTCAGAGTGGAGGAAGCTGATTTCTGACAGAGGTACCCAGTCGGGGGACCAGGCGGTCCGTCACACCCACTCATTATGGGGCTACTCACCGAGCAATATGGCACCATGTATGTCTGCCGTTACTTATAAATGGATTTCATCTATCTAAGCAAATATATACTGCGAGCAACATCAATAAAAATAAGTTACACCAATTCTGGAGCAAAGTCTTCTGGGTAATACCATAACTATGCCAGTGTGCTTGGTCAGGTGTGTGTGTGTGTGTGTCCCCCTTTGTCCCGTGTGGTTCTCACCTGGTTGAAGCTTTTCTTCGTCTTGGAGTTTTGCCTTTTCACCACCTCCCGCACAGTGAGATTCAGACATTCCATTCTGGCATCTGAAGAAAGAACATAGCGGTATAAAAACAGATCCCCACACCAATAGAGAGGCTTATCATGATGAGTACTTACTGTACGTCACCCCAATGGGCAAGTCTGGTTCTGCTGTGACAGTTAGGTCTTTGTTGGGATCTCCCAGATTCCACTTTCTGTAATGCCTTCTCTATGTATTTGGGGTTTGGGGGGGAAGGGGTGGCTGTAGGGGAGAGCGCTTTCCCTCTCTGCTTTCTTTTGTAGTCATACTATGGCAGATCAAATATTTTAGATGTTCATCTATAAAAAACCCTTCATCAGAAGCTTCTATTGTACAGAGTAACCTTAAGTTCTAGGACCACATGTCTGACAATGTCCAACATGCTTCCTCATGAACAGGAAGGCAATAGGCCATAGGTTTATTACTGTTCCACTAGGGAACAGCACTCAACTCTCGCTCTATGGGCCTCATGGGGATAAGTAACAATTACCATCTGAAGAAAATTACTAGATCTGGTTGCCTTCATACCCAACTTCTAATTGCTTGATCCTGACCAACCCACATTCCACAAGCCTACTTTTGCCTGGGAAAACCCCACCAATCACAAGGGATGGGTCACTCCCAACAACACCCCATGTAATATTCATGTGGCAAGTCCATAAAGGGTTTAATTATGCCAACCTTGTGATTTCACCAGCCCCTAGTCCTCTCCATAGGCAGGCATGGCCCAGGTACAGAGCCCGATTGCCACAACCAGACAAGGCATGGGTGGACATTTCTCCACCATTGTCATAAACAGCAAGGGATCCATACCTGCACAAGCTACGTTTTGAGCACATTTTCATTGAAGGCATGGATCTCAGTATTTCTTGGCTTTCCCCAATCGTGTTTTATGAATAAAATATTTTTTATCAGTTCCCTTACCAAGTTCCTCATACGAACTGCATGCTTTCCTCAAGCTGACTGACGTACAGACTTTCTCTCCGTCACTCCATCGGCTTCGGCCGCTCACGCTGGACTGTAGGAACACAAGGTTGACAAATCTATGTTACTGTTTTTTTATAGCCAGACCATATTTACTTAAATTTGCAGTAAATTAGCATCTTCAGACTTGTTTTTATAGGCAAAGGGCAATGAGCAGCAACCAATCAGAACTGATTCTCTCTGCTATCACCCCATATGTTAGATCTGATTGGTTGTCCTGAATGATTAGCTGTTGATCGTGGTCAATGGTATCCACTCTGCCTAATTACATAAGTCTATATGGGGTTTCATAAAAACAATTTGGATGAATGATTTTTGCTTCATGTGAAGACATTTTTTTTTCACTTTGCATTTCTGAAATCTCTCTAAACTCTTCTAATAATATCAAGCTTCTTTTAGCTCAGGGGAGGAGCTGTTAGTTAGTTAGTGAAAAGAGCTTAGGTCACATGACCAAGGCCATCGCTTGCACCCTTATAATATAATATTGCAGCTGCTGTTTATCAGCGTTTAATAATGGAGGAACACAGAGGATATCAGGTGCGTCTGCGGGCGAGCAGCACGGAGGGAACCCGCTGGCAGGAAGCAGCCGGAAGGGTCCGAAGGCAAGGTAACCAGGGGGCAATCCAAAGAGGTAGTCGGGGGAAATCCGAGGTCGAGGCAGGCAGCAGAGGGTCAGAAACGATAGGCGGTCCAAGGTCGGTACACGGGAGGTCAGCAGAGGGTTCAGGAAACAGGCAACAAGGCACATAGGAGGGGAGCTTCGTATGTCACACCATGAGGTGGAATAACTCAGCAATAAGCCAGAGCTCAGGCCAGGTTTTTATAGCCAGGGGAGTTAGGACCACCCCCCGGTCACCGAGGCAACCAGGAGGCTTCCTTCCTCGGGAACCAATGGCAGGCGAGAGAGATGGAAGGTGTGTACAGGGAACCTCCCCAGCAAGGCCCACACCTGATGCCTAATGGAGCAGGAGTGCTACACAGGTGCCCCCGGGGATGCGCGCGCAGCCTGCGTACCGCGCATGCGAACCCGCCGTGCGACTCGAGCATGCGTACCCGCAACCCGGGCACCAGGAGTTCTGCCAAGCTGAGGGGAAACCCGTGCCCTGCGCCGTGCCCGTGGCCCCCGAGCAGGGGCAACACCCCCTGCTTCCTGACAGAGGACTCCGGTTTGACTGGCCATGCCATTAGTTGAGAGGCATCTAAAAGCTGTAGCAGATGAAAACAGCGGTGTTGCCTTACCTTGCTGTAGACAATTTGTAGTGTAAACGGTATTGCTTCACGGTCGCCATCTATTCCGAGCCTCTTACAGCCAGGTCCTGAAGACAAAAGATGTCAGTTAGACACTAGAGTTAGGAACACTTAGGGTGGGGAGAAAAGTGCAAGAATGATGCTGAACGTCCTCCAGCCAGGAAATGAGACCGGTTCTGTCTGGCTTATTGCAGCTTCTAATGCACATTGTGAGAAGCCGTCAGTGATCAGAGCAATCAGAGGAAGCAATTTCAGTCCAGGAGAGGAGCCGGTACAACTGTGCAAGACTGAAGGGAAGGCTGCAGGTCAGATTTAATGAAGCTATATACAGTGAGACATGATGCCAAACACTTCCAAGGGGAACCTTCACCAAATTTAGGTTGTCTACAACCATCAAAGCTCAACTCCAGCCATTGGGGAAGGTATAGAACTTCTGCAGTCTGTGTCCCATTGGAGTGTCCTATTGGTCTATTAGAGTGTCCCATTGGTCCAGTGGAGTCTCATATTGGTCCATTGGAGTGTCCTATTAGTCTATTGGAGTGTCCTATTGGTCTATTGGAGTGTCCTATTGGTCTATTGGAGTGTCTCAATAGTCTATGGAGATGCCATTGGTCCACTGGAGTCTCTCATTGGTCCATTGGAGTGTCCTATTAGTCTATTAGAGTGTCCAAATGGTCTATGGAGATGCCATTGGTCCACTGGAGTCTCTCATTGGTCCATTGGAGTGTCTTATTAGTATATTGGAGTGGCCTATTGGAGTGTCCCATCGGTCCAGGTAGTGTCCCATTGGTCCATTGGAGTGTCCTATTAGTCTATTGGAGTGTCCTACTGGTCTATTGGAGTGTACCATTGGTCCACTGGAGTCTCCCATTGGTCCATTGGAGTGTCCCATTGGTTAGGAACTCTGACCCAACAGGTCACAAACAAAAATAAAAGATTTTACTCTTTATGTTCAAATCTGTTAACAATTTTACAAAATTTTGGCAGGATTCCTACTGCGCTTTGGAGATTTGGCCACATGTCTGCCATCCCTCTATCCAAAGGCATGCCTCAGCATCTTAACTTCAACTCTGTAGTACTTACCTGAAGCTTTGATGGCTCTTAGAGCCGCAGAATGACCAAGCTCCAGAGACTGGATGAAGACTTCGGTCTGTTTTCTTCCGCCATCAAAGGTGATCTAGAAAAAAAGGAACGATCTACATGAGGGCCATTTTCCTTCTTCTCCCTTATAGCAACAATTATGGTTGACGTTTAATGGCCAGGAACACAGCCATATTTTAAGTATTTAAACACCATCGCCCCCGACGACTTGATACCATGGAAGCCTGGTTCAGAGGACATTCAAAATCAGCCAACTTTATCAAGAGGGAAAACAACAGACACACAAAAACTCTGCTGAGTGCAGTATGTGGAATGGAATACTATGGCATTAAAAGGTGTAAGATTTACCTCGGCTCGGTACAGCTGCAGAAGCAAAGACCGCTTGGCAAACCGGCAATAATACAGCACCATGTCGGCAAGGATGGGCATTTTCCGTGTGTCCGCCAAGTCATTTTCAGGTGTAGACGGCTGTGAGAAAAGAGAAGAAGAGTGCTCTTAAAGTGTACGTGAATCTTAACAATGAACAACGCTTGTTTGCTTCCTTTTGGTCTGTTGACTAAACCATTGAAAACGTTGTCTTATATCTATTTGATAAGTGCAAAAAAATACCTGTTAATCCTGCGGGAACTCTCTTGTCTTAGGGTGACAACACTCCTCCATAGATATAGTACAGAGAACGGAGTTGTCGCCATAGAACAGGAAGTGTTTGCAGGATCGCCAGGTGAAAATAAAAGAAAAAAAGCCAGAGAAAAAAGAAAACTAATGCAGCCACTATCTCTAAGAAATGGTAAACTGGAATATATTACATATATACATATATTAAATTTTTATTCTTGGGTTTAAAAATATTTTAAAGGACAATGGAGACCATATACTGTATATACTGCATGTCAGTGTTTTATCCTACTGCCATATCAGTGAATACACACAGATACTCTTACCAATTCTTTCAGGCCCCCCATGCCTCTCGAATGGCTCTTATGTGGCCATACAATGTGAATCCTAATGGGAGCCCCAGGTGCTGAGTGCAGCCTCCCATAGAAGTCAATGGCTGTATGCGGGTAAACATCTGCATGCGTACGAGTGCAAAGACCCAAATGCAGACAGTCTGCCTTCACGTAATCTTCTGCGCTGTGTCCAGTGTATACCTGCATACAGCCATTGAAACTGAAATCCCTTCATATCCACTGGCCAGTGTATTCCTTGCAGCCATGTCCGGCTACTTCCAAATTCCGTTACACATCTGCATAGGGGCCAATGTTGAGTGATCAAATGAGTATGAATTACCTGGCAGAGCGCAGGGGTGGAGAGGTCCATCAGACCCTGGATATTACGCTTGTACCACGGGTCCAACATCCCGATGTAGTGAGAGATATCGTTAGTGCTTTCCTCGTCTCCCGTCACATCCTGTGGAAACATTGTATCTTTTAAAGAGAAGCCGCTTACCTTGCTATAAAGAAAGGAAGTGTCTGAAAGAGGGCCGGAGGAGACCAGCAGTACAGAGATTGGAAAAAGGGAGCGAATAAGTGGAAACAGTATTTTATTCTAATTATGATACACGGTGCTTGAGCTAGATTTCATCCAGCTAGGTTTTAGATCTACTTTAAACTGCAGACATACTGTATAAAACATTTAATGTTGAACTCCGGGTACAAAGCTTCTATTAAAATATATTCCTCAATAGTCACAAAGGATATACAGTATATACACTTTTGCACACCAAATGCCTTTGAAAACCCCGATATAACCTTATATTGATATCATCACTGTGCTGTACATAGCCTGTGCAGAGAGAAGAGCTGTGGGAGCCACCCAGCAGGCCTCACCCACTACAGGAAACTACAGGAAGGGGCAGATACAAGACCAGTCACCCTGCACAAGGAGGCAGAGCAGCAGTGAGCGGTCTTTATTACAGGAGGGGGCGGAGACAAGACCAGTCACCCTGCACAAGGAGAGAGAACAGCAGTGAGCGGTCTTTATTACGGGAATCTCCAAGTCTCACAATGGATTGCTGCACAGGTCTGGGAGAAATACACAAAGCTCACCAAGATTCAAGGAGAAACACACATGACTCTTGTATGAGGACAATACACACTTATCCCAGAGTTGAGCTTTAAACATAAACCGTGTACTTCTTAGCAATAGAACAGCTTTGTGTGCGTTGTGAGCTCACCTCTTGGCTGACCTGTCCAGACGGGCTGGGAGACTTTACTGGGGAACTGGGGCTTGTCAGTGATATACACGGAGAAGGACTGGTCCTCTTCACTGGAACGTAGAACAACTGCAGCTTAAAAAACCTTGTTAACAAGGGACAGCTGCTTTCCTTCAGCCTGAAAGAATCAGAGATGGAGTAAAAGGTCAACAATCATGAAGCGTTAGATGTCTTTAAACTGTATGTTATGGCAAAATTATGGAGTAGAGAAGAGATAGACCCTTGGTCAGGTTTTTTTTGGTGTCCTTGTCTCTGGTTGGGGTGATTCGCACTCTTTACAAACAATGCCATACACCAGATTCTCCACTATCGCATTATACTGCAGGAGGGGCTTAATCATGGAGGTCACCTCCATAATAATTTTCTGCAGAAAACGTGTATCTAAACCTCCGTTTTTAACCTTAGCTGTGAGAGAAGTTTTTTTGCATGCTGGCTGGTGAGTGTGCTGGGAAACTTTTTGCTATTACTGTTTAAAGCCCTTCCATGTGCACCTTGCTGTAAAGCTGGTAACAAATTGATGAGTGCGTTTGCCACTTGTTTTGCTTGACTGATTTGGTGCAGTGACGCATGGGGGGTCTCAGCTGCCGTTGTGATGTGTGGGGTCCCTTGTGCGTCTCTGTGCCTTTAAGGGAGGTTGGGCTTCCTCCTGACAAACCTGCACCCAATTTGATCTTTTGCCACATGTGCTCCAAGATGGAGACTCTCATAGTTTAGAGTTAGGACCGAACTATATGGAGGTGCCTTGGCGCGGCTGTGCGGCTTTCACATATTCTGCAGAAGACGTGTATCTAAACCTCTGTTTTTAACCTTAGCGGTGAGACAAGTTTTTTTGCATGCTGGCTTGTGAGTGTGCTGGGAAACTTTATGCCACTCCATAATTAGGTCGCTCCCTGGGTGAAATACGGTCTGATGGGCAGTCTGTAATGTATTGTTTGTAGTGAACTTTGCATACACTTTACAGAACCTCATCAAAAATACTGAAACTCACCTTAGATTGCTGTAAGCCCGAGCTAATTTCCCAGAAATTCTGTCGGAACCAAACACCACAACCCTCAAAGTTGATGCTTTGGAGTCCTCGTTGCAGCTCAAAAATGGTCTTCTCTTTAAGGCTAGCTTCTGATTCTGTTGGATCTCCCAAATATGGGCGCCAAGAGCATTCTGAGGAAGTGACTGGGACCTCTTGGACCGCGCCGGTATTCTTCTGGCTTGTGGGGTGTACAGGCTTCCTGCTCGCCTCAAGGGGAGATTCTGTTGAAGGTTGGACATTGAGCCCATTAGTGAATGGGTGGGAGAATAGCCCATCTCTGCCTTAAGCTTGGCTTTGGGTCCATTACTCCGTGGTTTAAAAAACTTGCATATCTTCTGGGTGAACTTTCGGTTGACCCTTTCTTCTCGGAACTCTGTTTTGTCGGACATCTCCTGGGAGCTGTCATCGCTGTCTTCCATGTATCCGCTGTCCACGCAGCTGGACAAGCTAGATACAAAGGACTTTGTGCTGTTGTCTATGTCTGGTGGCAGACTGGTGGTGGCAATTTCCCCCTCTAGGTTGCTCGGTATGTTCCAATAGACAAAGCGCCTTGACTGATGGGAAAAAACTGAGTCCTGTTGGTGACCCTCGTTATTCACCTCCTCCTCTACCTCCTCCAATTCCTCTTCATCCTCATCCTCATCCTCGTCGTCTTCCTCATTGACTTCATACTCCGGAGAAAGACTTGTTGCTCTAGTGTTTCCTTCATTTAAAATGATATTATTCAGCACATCTGTCAAAACACAAAGGTAGCAAATTATATATGAACTTTTCTTAAACCAACATTTTTTAAAGTTTGGATAGGGTGTAGAAAGCTTAGAACCCCTGGCAGGTTCTAGCTGTTCAGTGAGTGGCGGCTTTACTTGTTCCCTGGAAGTTGGTGGAAGGACTATGGCAGTAAGAGAAGTAATTATATATACATTATATGGCCAAAGGTGAACATCACCCCTATATAAGCTTGTTGGACATCTCATTCCATAACCATGGGCATTATTTTGGAGTTGGGCCCCTTTGGCCAGTTATATCTCTACTCATATGGGAAGGCCTTCCACAAGTCTTTGGACTGTGGGAATTTTTGCCCATTCAGCCAAAAGAACATTTGTGTGGTCAGGTACTGATGTTGGATGAGAAGACCAGGCTCACAGTATGCATTTCAATTCATCCCAAAGGTGTTCAGTAGGGTAGATGCCAGGGCTCTGTGGAGGCCACTTGAGTTTCTCCGCACCAAGCTGGTTTATACCATGTCTTTATAGAGCTGGCTTTGTTTCCAGGAGACAGTCATGGTGGAACAGAAAAAGGCCTTCACTAAACTGTAACCCCAAGGTTGAAAGCAGGGGCGTAACTAGAAATCACAGGGCCCCATAGCAAAATTTTGTATGGGGCCCCGTGATTGCTAGTTATGCCATTTGCAGAGCCCCAGCGGAGAGTGACCCTGCAGAGCCCACCATAGACTCTCCATAGTGGGCTCTGCAGGGTCTGAGATCTCTGTGGTCACCGGGCCCCGACTCCTGTTTTGTCCCCGGGCCCCAACTCCAGTTCCGTCCCCGGGCCCCGACTCCTGTTCCATCCCCGGACCCCGCCTTCTCTGCTATCGACGGGCCCCGCCTTCTCTTACATCACTGGCCCCACCTGCTCTTAGGTCGCTGGCCAGTGATGTAAGAGGAGGCGGGCCCCGCCTCCTCCATTCCGAACACCGCCCTCATCTGCCGCAGCGGCTGGCTGTCACTGAAACAGCTCCGCAGCAGCTATGAGGGGAAATGCGCCGTGGCCACTGCTGAGCTGTGTCTGTGACAGCCAGCACCCCCATATGCCATAGCGGCCCTGGCCGGGCCCCCCTGTGCCCGAGCTCCATAGCGGCCGCCTGGGTCGCTATGGCGATTGCTACGCCACTGGTTGAAAGCGTACAATTATCTAAAATGTCTTTGTCCGCTGTAACATTGTCAGTTCCCTTTACTGGAAACACCTGACCTCCATCGTTTGGAGTTGGGTCCACATACTTTTATATGTAGTGTGTAAGCCAATAGGAGCTAATGCTTACCAAAGTTGTCCTGGTCCCAGCTGTACGTGTAACATTTGGGCACCGGCAGTGAGATCGGCAGGAAGTGATCGGTGGAAATAGGAACTGAAGAGGTAAAACAAATAATTTGTTAAATTTGATCTTTTTCTTAATTCAAATGGAAAGAAAGGGAGAGAAAAGCAAAGACATACTTCACATATCAATCTGGTAAATGTAACACTTACAATGTATCATATATATAGGATTATTTATTTCGAGAGCTACAATTATCAGATTGATATTTTGATACTTTTTGCGAAGAGGAATTTTTTATGTCACTTGTAAATAGTTTTCTTTTGTGGGGTTATATATGAAAAGGGTTATTGAGAATATCACGGTGAATTTAGTTTGTATCTAGTACAGAATAACAGTGTATATACCTTACATATGTCTCCATCCAGAGCGGACTGGAAGATTAATACTAGACATGTGCGATTCCGAATCAAAATTTGGACGCATTTTCTGACATTCATACACATCTGAATTTCCGAATCCCAATGCGTCCGAATGCGAATTTCCGTTTCCGAATTTCGGATCCCGTCTGAATTTCGTTCAAAAACTAAACTGAATGGGATACGTGACTTCTGGCCAATCAGATGTTTTTTCCCGTTTAATACATCCAAATGGGTCTGAACACGAATTTTCATTACGGCAACATGGGAGCCATGTACAGTATATACATCTAATACTAAAGCTGAGGGTCCCAGACCCGAATTGCATTTGGGATCCGAATTTCCGAATTGCATTAGGGAGCTCCGGAATGCCATTTGGGGCTAGGAGCTTCAGCTTTAGTATTAATATCTGTATATGGTTTTCTGTGGTATTTGCAACGGATATTTGTAAACTCATTAGAAACTAACGAAATTCGGATTTCCTCCGAATCCAAAACCCAAACCGAATCCCGAATTCCGAAATATCCAAACCAAATTTTTCCGCAGCTTACGTGTCTAATTAATATCGATGGCTTATTAGCTGCTATAGACAACCTGCCCAGTCTTGCTGTTATACAGATAATATGATAGGAGTGGGAGCAGTGACAACATTGACTATCCTAGGGGAGGATACAGCTATTGGATTCCTGCTTTCTTTCCCATAATGCCCTGTTAATTTAACATTGAGCTGGCGCCCGGTGGTCACATGACTATCCTGACATCCTCTTTTATGGTTGCAGACCACAGTGGTTTTTCCAATATGTTCCCATATTCCCTTCACCAGACTGTCTCGTCGTCATCATCCCCAGTCCTGTTAGGTATTAGTATGACTTCAATGGATGTCAATAGTTTAACATTACATATGGATATGAAAATGTATTCAAAGATCCAATCCTATGAGTCCATCACTTGCTTCCCATCCCAAGGTGAATTCTTACCCCCCAGTTCAGACTCTCCGCTCTAACCCCCGATGGCCGCTCCCTCCATCGTTATAAATAAGGAGCTGGACTCATATTGCTCAGTGCTGATCTCCTTCATAGCTGGGCACTGGCCGGACACCTTCATGTTTGTGAGTTTAGAATGAATGGATTCTCTGCTCACCTTCTGCATCCCCCAGCAGCCCTGCTTCTGTCCCGATTTCCCGCAATCTGTCCTTCAGCCAATCACGGGATTTATCCGCGTTATTCTCGCTGGCCGAGTGCTCCAACGCCTCCGTCAAGTCTGCAAAGATGGCTTCAAGTTCTGCTAAAGTCTTAGACTGGAAGATTCAAACGTTTTATGGATTAGCAAACCGTACCGAAAATTTATCAGAACTATTTATATACTCCAGCCTTGCCTTCAGTCATGCACAGTTGTACCGGCCAGGACTGGGTGATACCCCGCCGTGTCGTCATCGTGCACGCGCGCCCATCTGATTGACTCCTGCCGGCAGCCATCTTGGTGATGGACGCAGGCAGAAAAAGAAGGGGATGTTCACCCGGCGGGATGAGGTATCCTGCCGGGTCCCCTGCTCTCTCCTGACACTGTCAGGCTCTCGGTCCATGACTGAGTGCCCGACCTTTTAGAGGGGTTGACACCAAAATGACTGTCAGTCATTTTGATGTCACCCCTGCAATGGTCGCACCCCCCGCGCCCCCTTGTGACGCCACTCGTACCGGCTCCTCTCCTGGACTGAAATAGCTTCTTTTGATTTCACTGCACACTGGGAGCTTCTCACAATGTGCATTATTATTGGATTTCAGTTCTTGCATATATGGAGGCTCAGTGTCCCATATGGGTGTTACCAAGGGCAGTTTGCATGCAAATGCATCCAGTCTAGGGACGCTCACTTCTCCATACTCACATCCACCCATCAAGGCATTTTGATATTTGCATAACTCCGGCCAAGAGCCAGCCCACTGCTTGAATCATAGCTGAGCACTCTTGAGAGGAGTAATGAGGCAAGGTGCTGTGATGTTTTCAGGAAGCTATGTACAGCTCCCAGCCGGCCCCTCTGACCAATCATGATCTGCCGCCATTGTATAGAGAAGCATCACTGGGTCTAAAATAAGGCATGTAATGAAAATGGGAAGGTTTTATTTTTAAAAAATGTATTAGCATATTGATCTGGTGGCAGAATATAAGCAGATTACATTTTAACTTTAATCCTCCACTGGTCCAAAAGCTAAAACTTTACCTAACCCTGAAAATGAATACTCAACCTCTGGGCATGTAACCTCACACTACCAGGATGTGAGTAACAGACCACTGAGCTCCTTACACATACCTTGAGTGCATCTCCAATGGCCGAAATCTGGCTGGAAGGGCCCAGGTTGGCTTGGTAGAGGTGCTGGATGAGGGAGATGTAATTGTTCTCAGCACTCTGCTCTGTGTTACTCAGATGTTCAACAACTGATAGGAACTCCCGCGGAAGCTCCGCTGGGTTCACCAACAGCACCGTTCTGCCGGGGAAAGAAGTGTCCAGAAAAAAAATCAACTATAGAGTTGGGTTTTGTGTGTTTCTATTATTATTATGTTCCTAAAATCATAATAATAATAATGACAATAATAATAATGTTACAGATCTGCTGTTATGGGGCTGGAGGAAGTAAATAATGGACTACAAGTGAAGTGATGTAAATGCTCTTATATTTCATTAAGACTATGGGTCTTGGAAGCTGCAGAAAGAACTTTGTATCCAGTTACAATTAATAAAAAGGAAAGAGATTTGTAGCTGCTACAATTATTGTTACAGAGTTGCTGCTGTGACAAAATCCTCAGTCCCGGTACTAACTGGAGGCACCCCAACCCTCTCCTAGGACTACCCAGAATGCTTCTCTACGGTGCTGTACTCACAGGATGCTGGGCAGGGAGGATTTAGTCAGGAGACCTTGTTCTGCCCTCACCAGGCGCTGGTAGGAAATTCCTGTACATAAGAAGAAGAAAAGATCAATACAATGACATCTGTTGGACAGGCGCTTCCTTAATGATGTACATAGACTATAGCAGGAGGTGGCAGGCCAAATACCACCCACAGAAGGTGTGGTCTGTATTTGCATAGTAGAAGGCATAGGTTTGGGGGGATATCCTGGTTGATAAGGCGAAGAAAGCCTATAGGCAAGGCAAAAAATGTGGGCCCGATCCGCACCCGCAGGTAAAGTGAACCCGAACTGGTCTAGAACACATACAGTAGCTCCCAAATGTCCCTCATTTTGAAGGATTGTCCCTTTGAAAACCAAATCCCTTTGTCCCTCTTTCCTCGTCCGTTGTCCTTCTTTTTTGGGCAGGTGTGTAGAAAATGTACTATTTAGCTAGTAGAAGTATTTTAATAGAGTTGGGGATCTATTTATAAACAATGTGCAGAGCCATTCACCCTGCAAATCTCTGTGAATGTTCGTTCTGTGCGAATGGAGGCAAAAGTGAAAGTTCTTAGTGTATATTCGTTTCAGGTCAAATGTAATATTCAGCTATAGACATGTGCAATTCCTTTCGTTCCAAATCAAAATTCGGACGAATTTTCCGAAATCTGGACATTCGAAACTGAATTGGACATGTGACTTTTCTGGCCAATCATATGTGTTTTTCTGTTTAATGCATCCAAATGGGTCTGAACACGAGTTTTCGTTACGGCAACATGGGAGCCATATACAGAATATACATGTAGTACTAAAGCTGAATCTTCCAGACCAGAATGGCATTCTGCATCCGAATTTCCGAATTGCATTTGGGGAGCTCTAAAATGTCCTTCGGGTCTGGAAGCCTCAGCTTTAGTAATATATGTATATGGCTCCCAGACCTGAAGGGCATTTCAGAGATCCCCAATGCAATTCGGAAATTTGGATCTCGAATGCCATTTGGGTCTGTGAGCCATATACATATATTACTAAAGCTGAGGCTCCCAGACCCAAAGGGCATTTCAGAGCTCCCCAATGCAATTCGGAAATTCAGATCCTGACATGTGCGATTCATTTAGTTCTGAATCAAAATTCAGACTAATTTTCTGAAATTCGGACATTCGGACACATCCGAATTTTCGAATCCCAATGCATCTGAATGTGTCCGAATCCGAATTTCTGTTTCCGAATTTCGGATCCCGTCCTAATTTCGTTCAAGAAACAAAACTGAATCGGACATGTGACTTTTCTGGCCAATCAGATGTGTTTTTCCGTTTAATGTATCCGAATGGGTCTAATTACAAATTTTTGTTATGGTAACATGGGAGCCATATAGTACAGTATATGGCTCACATCTTGCCGTAACGAAATTTCGTGTTCAGTATATACATATGATACTAAAGCTGAGGCTCCTAGACCTGAATGGCAATCGGGATCCGAAATTCCAAATCACATTCGGGAGCTCTCGAATGCCATTTGGGACTAGGAGCCATTTACATATATTACTAAAGCTGAGGCTCCCAGACCAATATTGCTTTCTGGAGCTCCAAAATGCAATTCGGAAGTTCGGATCCTGAATGCCATTCCGATCTAGGAGATTCAGCTTTAGTATTAATAACTGTATATGGTTTTCTGTGGTATTCGCAACCAATATTCATAAACTTATCCAAAACTAACGAAAATTCGGATTTCATCCGAATCCGAAACCCGAACCGAATTGAATTTCGGATCTGAATCCGGAAATAACGAAATATCCGAACCGGATTTTTCTGCAGCTTACATGTCTATTCGGGTAATACCTCGTTGTGGCCACTAGATGGAGCTGTGAAATAGGCAAAGAGAAAAGAGGGAAGATCTTCCAATTAGGACCCTTGTTCCGGTGATAATTGTCTAAGATGGGGAATGCTCCTTTCTTTACCCTTTTTTAACCATTGCCTACTCTTCCCAAAACTAAAAAATAGTATTGGCATTAGATATAAGTTAAATCCAGCCATCAAAATCTATTTATCTATTACATTGGGGACAGGTCCTGACATGCTTGTAAAGTACAAAGCAGGGAAAATAGGTCATGGGTGCACGGTAAGTGCTCTAGATGTACAGGGCACGTCTACCCCTGGGCCCACGGAACATTTCTCTCTCTCAAGAAATGGGAAGGCCTCTGTGTTTATGTGCAACAAACCCCACGGGGAAATACCTGGAGCTTTTCGTTCTTCACTGATGAAGCTGAGGAGCTCCTGATAGATGTCACAATACGGAGCCGGCCAGGTGAGGAAGACGTGGAACGTCTCGAAGGCTTTCAGAAGAAGGTCACAATCTTTAGGGATCCAGGGAGCCTGGAGGAACCAAATGTATAAAATATGGTCGCTGTAGCCCATGACTTCAGAAAAATACAAGTCACATTTATTCCCCGGTATATTATTGTTTATTATATATAACGTATGTGGAGTAAGTAAGACTATGGGAACTGACCACCCTAGAATGGACTATGCAAGCTAATCACCTGTTGGTCCTGTAGGTAGACGTCAAGGGTGGGGCATAAACATGATCGCTCGGCCAGTGTGATACCGTGTGTGGTGATCGGTTTACAGAATGTATCTTCTGACCAACGCCTTATATCTGTCTGGGTCTCATTAGGGTATAAACCCTGAGGCAGACCATTAGGGGCAGATCCCCATTCTCTTCTCAAGCCTGGACCACCAAACAATAACCTCTTGGTCCTTTAGGTCCACCGCCAAAACATGACTTCTTGGGCAATTTGATGATGATCGGTTTACAGAAGGTACCTTCTGACCATCGTCTTATCTCTCTGGGTCTCATTAGGGTATAAACCCCAATAGCTGACCATCGTCTTATCTCTCTGGGTCTCATTAGGGTATAAACCCCAATAGCTGACCATCGTCTTATCTCTCTGGGTACCATTAGGGCATAAACCCCAATAGCTGACCATCGTCTTATCTCTCTGGGTACCATTAGGGCATAAACCCCAATAGCTGACCATCGTCTTATCTCTCTGTGGACCATTAGGGTATAAACCCCAGTAGGGGCAGATCCCCAGTCTTTTCTCTGGTCTGGACCACCAAACAATCACCTGTTGGTCCTGTAGGCCCACCGTCAAGGGTGGGGCAAAAACATGACTTCTCGGGCAATGTGATGATGATCGGTTTACAGAACGTACCTTCTGACCATCGTCTTATCTTTTTGGGTACCATTAGGGTATAAACCCCAACAGCTGACCATCGTCTTATCTCTCCGTGTACCATTAGGGTATAAACCCCAATTGCTGACCATCATCTTATCTCTCTGGGTACCATTAGGGTATAAACCCCAATAGGGGCAGATCCTGAGTCTCTTCCCAGGCTTAGACCACCAAACACTTACCGAAAGAACAGCAAAATGGAACATCAGAGCCAAGGGGGCGAGGAGTTCGTATTCACACTTTTCTTGGGCCTACAAGAAGAACAAAGGTCAAACATTTTCAGTGTCACCTCCACCCAAAGCTGATATAGTTCAGATTCTATTTGTATGTTTTAAAGTCCTTTCAGATGACCCTACGAGCCTTGGCAACCCTGTGAACCCTAAATGTACCTCCATGATGGTATTTTGAAAACTGGTCTACATGTAGTCAGTCAACTTGCATGTTGGGCTAGAGGGAGTTCTTTGAATAATTTGGGTCCGGTTCCTTATTGATGGCCCAGCAGCAGACACATACTGGGTACTCGAGGAATGTACATAAGTGTAGACAATGATATTATTGTCTGGCACAGCTGAGCCGTACTGTCACTATACAAACAGCTGGTAATAACAGTAAACATCAGTTAGGCGCCTTTGATGCCCGTTGTGTGTTTGTGGCTCAGGCGGTGACCCCGGGGGGGGTTATTTGTGTCACCTGTCCTGATTAATGACATCCAGGCCACGTCCTATGAGTTTGGGGGTTTGGGAACTCCGAGCTGACTTCCTGCCTCGTCCCTCCTGTTTGTCTTCCACCCTCATTGTTACCGCGTACGATCGGCACAAGAGTGTAAACTCAGGAAGCCGAGTCCATTCCCCCTATTCATGCCCAGATGTCAACGAATCCCTTTTTGTCCCATTCCTAGCAAGTTCCCACCGAGCTCCTGGGACCGCAGCACCTGACGCAGGCTTAAAGAGGACCTGTCTTTAAAATCTGTGCAGCGCATGTATCAATATGACAGACATATTTCAGTGTCAGCAGATTACAAGTAAAGCAATAATAATAATTGTATACATTATTGCTTCTGAGCTCCTTCATGGCATATAAAGCCTTGGCAGATTGCCGAGAGGCCCCTCCCACACCTCTGCTCTCTCTATCTACTTGTGCAGGGTCACTGGTCTCATCCCCGCCCCCTCCTGTAGTTTTCTGCAGGCAGCCTGCAGTGGGCCCATCCCACGGCTCTGCCCTCTCTCTCTCCCTGTGCAGGGTGACTGGTCTTGTTTCTGCCCCCTCCTGTAATACAGACCGCTCACAAATGCTTCCTTCTGCCTGCAGCAGACTAATCACTGGGGGAGGGGAGACTGAGGAAATGCTTCCTCCTGCCTGCAGCAGACTGATCACTGGGGGAGGGGAGACTGAGGAAATGCTTCCTTCTGCCTGCAGCAGACTAATCACGGGGGGAGGGGAGACTGAGGAAATGTTTCCTCCTGCCTGCAGCAGACTGATCACTGGGGGAGACTTTGGACATTGAACACACGGAGGAGATGATACAATTATATATATAAGAATATGAAGTCTGAGTGATTTGCGGTGTATAAGGACACGTCTTGTACATTGAACTCCGCACCTCTCTGGTCCTGTCCAGGATCTTCTCCGCCAGTATAATGTGATTGGCAGCCTCGCGATTCACCAATTCCTCCAAACTCCAATAATTCAGACACAGCCCGGCTAGAAGACAGAACAGAACCATGTATTTTACAAAGCTTCATGCATGAAACTCAAGGTAACAATGGATGGATGGATTGGGGGATGGAAGAGTGGATGGAAGGCAGGATGGGTGGATAAAAGGACGGAAGGATTGGAAGGATAGACAAATGGATGGATGGGTGAATGGATGGATGGGTGGATGAATGAATGGAGGGGTGGATGGATGGCTTGAAGGATGGGTGGATGGATGGGTGGATGGATAGATGGGTGGACGGATGGATGGAAGGATGGGTGGATGGATGGTGGATGAATAGATGGGTGGACGGATGGATGGAAGGATGGGAGGATGGATGGGTGGATGGATATATGTATGATGCGTTGATGGATAGATGGATGAGTGGATGGATAGATGGGTGGATGGATGGGTGGGTGGGTGAATGTGTGGATGGATGGATGGATGGGTGGGTGGATGGATGGATGGATGGATGGATGGGTGGATGGATGGGTGGATGGATGGATGGATGGGTGGATGGATGGGTGGATGGATGGGTGGGTGGATGGATAGGTGGGTGGATGGATGGATTGGTGGATGGGTGGGTGGATGGATGGATGGATGGGTGGATGGATGGGTGGATGGATGGGTGGGTGGATGGATAGGTGGGTGGATGGATGGATGGGTGGATGGATGGGTGGATGGATAGGTGGGTGGATGGATGGATGGGTGGATGGATGGATGGGTGGGGTGGGTGGATGGATAGGTGGGTGGATGGATGGATGGAAGGATGGGTGGATGGATGGGTGGATGGATAGATGGGTGGACGGATGGATGGAAGGATGGGTGGATGGATGGTGGATGAATAGATGGGTGGACGGATGGATGGAAGGATGGGAGGATGGATGGGTGGATGGATATATGTATGATGCGTTGATGGATAGATGGATGAGTGGATGGATAGATGGGGGGATGGATGGGTGGATGGATGGATGGATGGGGGGATGGATGGATGGATGGGTAGATGGATGGGTGGATGGATATATGTATGATGCGTTGATGGATAGATGGATGAGTGGATGGATAGATGGGGGGATGGATGGGTGGATGGATGGCTGGGTGGATGGATGGATGGATGGGGGGATGGATGGATGGATGGGTAGATGGATGGGTGGATGGATATATGTATGATGCGTTGATGGATAGATGGATGAGTGGATGGATAGATGGGGGGATGGATGGGTGGATGGATGGCTGGGTGGATGGATGGATGGATGGGGGGATGGATGGATGGATGGGTAGATGGATGGGTGGATGGATATATGTATGATGCGTTGATGGATAGATGGATGAGTGGATGGATAGATGGGGGGATGGATGGGTGGATGGATGGCTGGGTGGATGGATGGATGGATGGGGGGATGGATGGATGGGTGGGTGGATGGATAGGTGGATGGATGGATGGGTGGGTGGGGTTTGGATGGATGGATGAATGGATGGGTGGATGGATTGATGAATGGATAGATGGGTGGATGGATGGGTGGATGGATGAATGGATGGATGAATGGATAGATGGGTGGATGGATGGGTGGATGGATGAATGGATGGATGGATGGATGGATGGATGGGTGGATGGATGAATGGGTGGATGGCTTTGGCTCCACATCTTCTTTAATAATAGCAAATGTTGCCGCGTGTGTATGTACACCATCTCTCGTTTCTGATTGGTGGACAGATCAGCAATGTTTGGTCAGCCAC